AAAATTTGGCGTCATTCTGGGTTGATTTGATCGGTTTCGGCACAAGTTTTCGAAGTTGGAACATTTGGAAGTTCATAGATCGATTTGTGGTGTGATTCGGTGTTTTGGAATTGTTTGATATGATTTGAGACCTCGAGCGAGTCCGTGTTAGGTTATATGACTTGTTTGTGTGTGTAGATGGGGTCCCGGGGGCCTCGGGTGTGTTTCGGGTTGTATTGCGCTCTTATTTGATGTTTCAACGTCGTTTCTTTGGAAATAAAGGGTACCAAATTAAACAAATGAGCTTCAAATTCAGTTTTTATTGAACCATTAGATCCGTATCGTAATTACGAAGCCATAGCAAAAAGAATCATCGAATTTGGAAATCGTATGAGGATGTTATGCTCATTTTTGTGTCGGAAAAAACTGCTGCTTCTCGTATGGTCGCAATTGCGAACATATCCATCACAATTGCGATGCCCAGTACGCAATTGCGAACTTTTTGTCGCAAATGCGTCCTTTTACAGCCCTTCCTTATTCGCAATTGCGAAATCTTTCTTCGCTTTTGCGAGCGTTCGCAATTGCGAACCCTGGATCGCAAATGCGACATCTGCAACTTGTTTTCAGCTGTGTAACTCGAGTTTTTGCTCATTTTTCATTTTCTTTGAACCCTAACTCCGAGAGTGGGCGATTTTTAGAGAAGATTTTCATACCAAATCATCGAGTAAGTGTCTCTAATCAATTTCTAACTATATATTGTGATTATATCTTAGATTTAACATCAAATTCATGAGAATCTAAAGGAGAATTTTGGGAAGAATTGTGGAATCTTTCAAAAATATAAAATGATAATTTGAGGGACCAAAAGGTGTCGGAATTAGATAATTTACGTATGGGTGAACTCGTATCGGAATGGGTATTCAGTTTTTGTAAATTTTGTCGGGTTCCGAGGTGCGGACTCAGGGAGTTGACTTTTATTGACTTTTTGCAAATTGTATAAGAATCATAGTTTTGTTAATTGAAATTTTTTTCTCTTGCCTTGTTTGATGTATTCAAGTCGATTTTGGCTAGATTGAGCCGAGCGTTGATGAATTGGTAAAGGAAACGCTAAATTGAGTATTGAATTGGCCGGATTGAGGTAAGTATCTTGCCTAACCTTGTGTGGGGGACTTCCCCTTAGGATTTGAGTCTTCTATGTTGGTTGTAGTTCGTGTACGCAAGGTGAAGAGTGCGTGCTCGGATTTATTTGTGGAAAATTGGCCTTTTGGGTTCTTAGGTCTTTATATTCACTGTGTATGAATGTGTTCTTGACATGACTGAGTTTCCTATTTACTAGTTTCACCTCTACATGCTTAATTGGAATTAATTGCTTCATGATTCACTCTTATTGCCTAATCGAATCCTATTTGATTTAACTGCAGTAATTCGCCTCTCTTATTGTCATGCTATCTCTTCATAGCTGCTTGTCTTATTGAGAATTTATTATTGTCCCTCCTGAAATTGTATAGTCTTAGGTGAAGCTAAGATCATCTTTCCTTAATTGAATTGTCGAATATCCTTGTAATTGTCCAACCTTAAAAGGAGTTAGATAGTGTATATCTTTGTTGACTTGCCTTTATTTGGGATTACTTGACTAGTGTTGATTTCCTTGTTATTGACTTGTATATTGTGGGATCGTTGCTACATGTTAGATTTCCCTTTTGTTGAACCGTTCCCTTTGTGCCAACATTCTTTTCTGTGGTTATTCCTTGTGAGCTGGTCCTACCGTTTCTTCGTGATTTACAGTTCTTGAGTTGACTTACTTGCCGTACTTTGTATTATTGTCATTGTTGCTTTTGTGTATTTACTTTGGGACTACGGATCGGTATTCCGGGAGATCCCCCTACACCTTTATATTTGGGACTACGGGACGATATCCCGGGAGATCCCCCTGTACCGGATATTTACGTTGGGACTACGGATCGGTATTCCAGTAGATCCCCCTGCACCTTTATATTTAGGACTACGGGACGATATCCCGGGAGATCCCCCTGTACTGGATATTTACTTTGGGACTACGGATCGGTATTCTGTGAGATTTCCCTACATATTTACGATTTGGACTACGGGACGATATCTTGGGAGATCCTCTGCACATTTATGTTTGGGACTACGGGACGTTATCCTGGGAGATCCCTTGTTGTTATCTTTGTGTTCTGAGCTGTTGTTTTCATTGATCCTATCCCTGTGTAAACAGTATATGTGTTGTCCGTTTCTGTCCATATGCTTACTAGCTGGTATGAACTATGATAGGACACTTGCACAAGCATATACGTGGCTAAGCACCCTTATCGGATAGGAGGCTCCTTGAGATTTCTGAGTATAGACGCACACCTTTGTTGTTTGCCTTCCATGTGAGAATGACTCTTTTGGGCACGTGAGTTGTCAGTATGATTAGGAGGTGTGATGAGGGCACAGGATGCCAAGTGTTAGGGTTCAAGTATTGAGACCCGTATTGTATGATTATGAGATGAGGTGTCACAGGGTGACTGATATGCGAAGGTTATCTATTTGAAAAGATTATATTCGAAAAACATTTATTTTGAAAGAACTCTTTTTGAAAAGAACATTTATTTGAAGGAAGTATATTTTGAAACATTTTTATCACTTGAAAGGTTTGACTATTTGATTGACGCTTGCTGGTTAAGACTTAAGGTGAAAACTATTGGAGTTGTTGAGTTATGACTTGTCTTTACTGTATTTGTGATTTCGGATTTGGGTTGTATTCTCGCTTACCTTTCCGTGTTTTCTTGATGGTGTTCCGCTGAGTACTTGCTATTTTCTTTCCTTATTTTTAATTACTGTATTGTTAGCCGTATCGCGTAGTCTCTATATAAATATCATGTTCTGTATATTAGATCAGTAGGTGCTTGACTGTTCCTCGTCACTACTCTACCGAGGTTAGTCTTGATACTTACTGGGCACCACTCTGGTGTGCTCATACTACACTTCTATACATTTTTTGTGCAGATCCAGGTATTGATCGTTAGTAGTTGAGCGGATTCTTGCCGAGGAGACTCAAGGTAAAACTGTTGCTGTGTTCGCAGGCTTCGAAGTCACCTTCCTATTTTATAATCACACTGTTGTACTTATTTCCATACGATTGTGTTTAGAAGTTGTAGCGAAACTCTGTAAGCTTATGACTTGTACTACCGGGTTTTGGGAATTATAAATTTTATAGAGATTTCTGCTTCAAGACTGTTAAATTTCATTTATTATTGTGGTATTTCAGTATGAGTTAGGCTTACCTAGTCCCTAAGACTAGGTGCCATCACGACACCCAAACGGAGGGAAAGTTGGGTCGTGACAATATATCTCTTATAACATAGTTCCTGGGATTAAATACCCTCGAATCCAAGTTTAGATAAGTTACTTACCTCGAACTAGCCAAATACAATATCAAGCAAGCCAAACAATACTTTAGAAATGCCATCCCGCGCGTATCAACCTCCGAACGGCTTGAAACTAAACAAAAGCAACTCAGATACATCAAATAATGCTTAAGAAAACAATCCTAAATGATAAAGGTCGAATCTTTACACATCTACTCAAAGTCAACCAAAAGGTCAAACTCGGACCTGCGCCTTGAAACCCGATAAAACTTACAAAATCTGATAACTCATTTAATTGCGAGTCCAACCATACTAATTTCACTCAATTCCGACTCCAAATCGACGTTCAAAACTCAAAAATTCACTTTAGGAAATTTTAGACAAAACCCCTAGTTTCTCTTTGAAATTCATAATTTCAATGCCAAAATCGAAGATAAAATCATAGAATACAACCAAAATCGAGTAGAAAATACTTACCCAAAACCATGTGGTGAAAATCGCCTTCATAATCTCCCAAATCCGAGTTTCATAGTTCAAAATATGAATAAGTGAACAAACCCTCGAAATATATAGAATTAGCCTAGCACTTCCGCATTTGCGAAGCCAAAAGCGCACTTGCACCCTCGCTTCTGCGGCCCCAATCTTGCATCTGCGAGAATACCTCAACAGGTCGTTCTCCGCATCTGCAACCCCGCAGGTGCGGTCCACAACACGCAAAAGCGCAACTCCAGCTTGATCTAACTCCGCAGGTGCGCACAACAAATTACATGTGCGATATCGCACCTGCGTTATATCCTCCACAGAAGCGGAACTCACCTGGGTGCCTCGCCTTCGCAAATGCGGCCCAAATCTCCGCATAAGCGGTACCGCACCTGCGGCCAAAATCATGCAGGTGTACGACACCAGCACTAGAACTGCTCAAAGTGATCAAAACCATCCGACATTTACCCGAATTACACCAGGGCCCCTGGGACCCCATCCAATCATACAAACAAGTTCCAAAACATAATACAGACCCATACAAGACCTCAAATCACACATAACAACACCGAAATGATGAATTTCACCTTAAAACAAATTTGAAGAACTTTTGAACTTTAAACTTCCAAAACTCGTGTCGAACCTCATCAAATCAACTCAGAATGACGTCAAATTTTGAACACAAGTTCCAAATTATATAACGAAGCTATTCCAATTCCCCAAACCGCAATCTGAACCCTATATTATCAAAGTCAACTCTCGGTCAAACCTATAAACTTTCCAAATCTTCGATTTGCCAACTTTCGTCAATTAATGCCAAAACTTTCAAGGAATATCCAAATGCAAATACGGGCATACGCCCATGTTCAAAATCACCATCCGGACCTAACGGAACCATCAAAACTCCAATCCGCGGTCAAATACACAAAGGTCAAACTTGGTCAACTCTTCCAACTTAACATTTTCTAGTTGAGAATCATTCCTCCAAATCAATCTTGAATCATCTGAAAACCAAAACCGGTGATTCACACAAGTCATAATACATCCTATGAAGCTACTCAATAATTCAAACAGCTGAACAGAGTGCAAATGCTCAAAACAACCGGTTGGTCGTTACAATTCTGATGTTCACTTATTATTCTAACATTTCTAACATTATCTTTTGGAGAGGTGCAAGAAAAAGTGAAAACCAAGAAAGCAGCGTATCTGAAGTTAGTTGAAAGTGTAGACAATGAGGAGAAGAGGGTGAATAGGGAGCATTATAAGTTGGCAAAAAAAAAAGAAGAGGCAAAGCTAGCAGTTACAGCCGCCAAGATGGCAGCTTTTAGTCATTTGTATGCGGAACTCGAGGGCCGAGGTGGGGATAATAGGTTGTTCAGGTTAGCCAAGATGCGAGAAAGGAAAGCGCGAGACCTGGACCAACTGAAATGCATCAAGGACGAAGAAGGTAGAGTTTTGTTGGATGAGGGGCTTATTCGTCGGAGATGGCAGACCTACTTCCATAGTCTCTTGAGCGAGGAGGGGGACAAGAGCATTGTACTGGGTGATTTGGAACTCTCTGGGAGTCGTTGTGACTTTGGGTATTGTAGGCGGATTAGAGTTGATGAAGTTGAGGGGGCTATGCGTAAGATGAGCAGGGGCAAAGCGACTGGGCCGGATGAAATCCTGGTAGAGTTTTGGAAGAGTACGGGTAAGGCAGGAATAGAGTGGCTCACTAGGTTATTTAATGTCATTTTTAGAATGAAGAAGATGCCCAATGAGTGGAGGTGGAGCACGATGGTTCCTATATATAAGAACAAGGGTGATATCCAAAATTGCAATAACTATCGGGGTATCAAGCTGTTTAGCCATACTATGAAAGTCTGGGAGAGAGTGGTAGAGCAAAGGGTGAGGATGAGTGTGTCTATTTCCGAGAACCAGTTTGGGTTTATGCCGGGGTGTTCGACTACAGAAGCCATCCAACTTGTTAGGAGATTGATGAAGCAGTATAGGGAGAGAAAGAAGGACTTGCATATGGTGTTCAACGACTTGGAAAAAGGGTACGATAAAGTTCTGAGGGAGGTTTTGTGGAGATGTTTGGAGGCTAGAGGTGTACCTGTTGCCGGATTGACTAAGGACATGTATGATGGAGTAAAGACCTGAGTGAGGACGGTGGGTGGGGACTCAGACCATTTTTCGGTTATGATGGGGTTGCATCAGGGGTCCGCACTCAGCCCTTTTTTATTTGCTTTGGTGATGGACGTACTGACGTGCCACATCCAAGGGGAGGTGCCGTGGTGCATCTATTTGCAGGTGATATTGTACTAATTAACGAGACGCGAGACGATGTGAACGTGCAATTAGAGGTATGGAGGCAGACCCTGGAATCTAAAGGTTTCAAGTTGAGCAGGACTAAGACAGAATACTTGGAGTGTAAGTTCAGTGGCGAGACTCAAGGAGGGGAAGGGGAGGTGAGGCTGGACTCGCAGGTCATTCCTAGGAGAGGGAGTTTTAAATACCTTGGGTCTATTATTCAGGGGGATGGGGAGATTGATGGAGATGTCACACATCGTATTGGGGCGGGATGGATGAAATGAAGACTCGCTTTCGGTGTTTTGTGTGACAATAAGGTGCCACCAAAACTTAAGGGTAAGTTCTACAGAGTGGTGGTCAGACCAACGATGTTGTATGGGGCTGAGTGTTGGCCAGTCAAGATCGCTCATGTCCAGAAGATGAAGGTAGCAGAGATGAGGATGTTGAGATAGATGTGCGGCCACACCAGGTTAGATAGGATCAGAAATGAGGTTATTCGTGACAAGGTGGGTGTGGCCCCTATTGAGGACAACATGCGGGAAACGCGCTTAGGTGGTTTGGTCATATGAGGACGAGGAGCACAGACACACCGGTGAGGAGGTGTGAGAGGTTGACATTGGAGGGCCTATAAAGAGGTAGAGGTAGGCCAAAGAAGAGGTGGAGAGAGGTGATTAGGCAAGACATGGCACAACTTCAGCTGACTGAGGACATGACCCTTGATAGGAAGATATGGAGGTCGAGGATTAGGGTAGTAGAGTAGGTAGTCTTGAGTGGTCATAATAGTAGTATTGGTACGCAGTCTCGCTTTCTGTTGGTAGTAGGTTTTTATGACTAACGGTTATTTTTCACTATTGATCACCTTTCTATCCTGTTGTTTTTATTCTGCTTTTATATGGCTTTTTGGTATTATCCCTTCTTGTCTATATTTTCATTAATAATATTTGCTTATGCTTTCCTGAGCCGAGGGTCTATTGGAAACAACCTCTCTATCCTCATAAGGTAGTGGTAAGGTCTGCGTACACACTACCCTCCCCAGACCCCACAGTGTGGGATATTACTGGGTATGTTATTGTTGTTGTTCTAACATTATCTTTTGACATTGAATCTGACATTTGAATGGATTAATTGTCTTTTATAAGCTTATTATATTGACAATTACAATTTTTCAAAACTATATATATAAACACACACACACACATGTTTATTATAGAAAGAATAAGGGAGATGCTGTAGATCAAAATAAATATGCTTAAATTATTGGTAGCCTAACGCATTTGAGGAATTTTACTAGACCAGATATTGCATATGATGTGTGTAGATTGAGTAGATATACTCAAAACCTGAGTCATGATCATTGAAATACATTAGAAAGAGTAATAAAATATTTGAGAGATACCATGAATTATGGTATCAAATATAATGGATTTCATACTGTATTTGAAGGATACAGTGACATTAACTGGATCTTTGATTCAGATGAGAGAAAATTCACTAGTGTTTATGTGTTCACCCTTGGTGGGGATGTTGTGGCTTGGAAATTAGCTGAACAAACAATAATAGCTAGATCTACTAGGAATAGTTAAAGAACCTTTTGACAAGTATTCCATTAGGAATAAAACTGACACCTTCTGTGTCAATGCATTGTGATTGCCAAGCTGCAATAGCCATTGCTAAAATTAAATCCTTCAATTGAAAGAGTAGACACATTGAATTGAGACATAATGTGAAAAAATAACTACTGCGAGATGAAATTATTTCCATAGATTATGTGAAGTCAGAAGTGAATTTGGCCGATCCTCTGACTAAACCTTTAGGAAGAGAAAGAATATCTGAAACATCGAGAGAAATGAGACTATTGCTTATTTGAGTTGTATCAATAATGATGGTAACCCAAACTATGTGGTTGGAGATCCGATGAAGAAGGTTCATATGTGTAATAACAAGTCATTAGTTGATCGAATACGCATTATTAAGTTATGTCTCTTCCTATGATGTGTGTATATTGTGCAAAACTGCAAGGAATATGAGGATGAGTTATTAAAATCTTTATCCAATAATTCATAGCCTTTTTATAGGTGGTGTATTGCAATGCGAAATATACTTGATGGATGGACCTATATGAGTGTGGATTGTGGCCGCTCCTATGAAATTTGTGGCAAAATTTCTAGAGCACTCATGAAAATCAGGTGCGGACATTGCCTATTAGCACAAAACCACGATAACAATAGAAATTATAGGGATATAATATTATGAATAAGATCCCTAGCTTACAACACGAATTTTTTGGTTCATAGAAGTTATCAACTTCACTGTTATGACCTAAAACTCGACATGTTGTGATGTGCCTATCATGATACTAGGCAAGCCAATAACTCACACATACCAAAATTTTAAATTCAAAATATACTGAAATAGGTTTAAGTAAGTAAAAATCTCATAAAAACTAGATGAAAACGCCATAACTCATTACAAAATTTCCCAAAACTTGGGTGTCACTGAGTACATGAGCATCTATAGAGTAAAACAGTCTAATACACTGTCTAAGAAAGTAGAGCTGAATAACCAAAAACTGAGAGATTGAAGAGGAGAGTCATGGCCTGCAGACGCCAAAGCAGCTAGCTCGATAATCTCCGAATAGGTAAAACTCCATGATCAACAACAACCGTGCCCGGAAATGCCTGGATTTGCACACAAGGTGTAGAGTGTAGTGTGAGTACAACCAACTCAATAAGTATCGTAAATAAACAAGGCAATGTAAGAGAAGTTTAAATTATTGAGGATACTAGTTATTCTGGTGTAATTCTGCCTTTTTTAAACCAGCACAACACAATATTTAAAACTAATTCATTAAGCTTCGTGAGAAGAATATCCATGTGTGCATGTGCACTGTTTCTCAAATACCCTGCTCAAACAGTACTATGGCATGTAGAGGAAGGAAACCAGTAAGTCAAATAAAAGATCAAGAAGATGAAAATTTCCATACACTGCACGAACAACTCACGTGCTGCACGGACAACTCACGTGCTAACAATAAAACTTGCACGGATAACTCATTTGAGACACGGACAACTCACGTATCAATATTATTAATATATGGATCCGCACGGACAACTCACGTGCTGCATGAACAACTCACGTGCCAATAATATCAGTAAGCGGTTCCTCACGGACAACTCACGTGCCAATAACACAATTCGCCCAACATAGTCACAGGCCCCAGTCCAAACATATCACACAGAAGCAATAAAACAAGTATACATGTATATGATGAATGAAATAAGATTCTCATGCTCTTGGACTGGTATAAGTGATATGCTAAAGTGTAGGCATGTGCAAAGTGTGCTATCGTAGCTCGAACCAGCAATTTCATCAATGAAAAGCATTTACCAAGTTCGTTCAGGGGCTAAACCTCTATGTAGCCTCATCAAGGCTCAAATAGATCACATAAACTGTTACAACATGAGAGATATCATAGCTGAAAGCTTAAAAGTCATTTCTAGGCTTATAAGAGCCCGAGCACAACCCAAACATGAAAATACAATCCCGGTTCCTGCACATGGGCTCATCCCCATGCATGTGCACACCCAAAAGCACGTGGCTATCACAACAATTCAGGCAACTGGTGTCGCGCCCCCTTTTTCCTTCGCGGAAGTCCGGGTTTTGACATTCATGGGTGAACAACTCGTTTCCTTTTGGGAATTGGGTATTTGAAGAGTCGCCACCTAACGGATTAAGGTGCGTTAGGGAACCTAGAGCGGTTAACTCATGTAACCAGTTTGCATTACCAGAGATTAGGGTAAGGGCTCAAAATAACCTTGAGGCGAAGGTGTTAGGCACCCCTCGCGGTTCACAACGATGGGTACCGGCTGTCGCGCAGCGTTTTTCCTTCGCGGAGAAGTCCTGGTTTCGACATTCATGGGGGAACAACTCTTTTCCTTTTGGGAATTGGGTATTTGAAGAGTCGCCACCTAACGGATGAAGGTGTGTTAGGGCACTTAGAGTAATTAACTCATGTAACCAGTTTGCATTACCAGAGATCAGGGTAAGGCTCAAAATAACATTGAGGAGAAGGTGTTAGGCACCCCTCGCGGTCCACAACGGTGGCTCCCGGTCGAACTTAAACTACGTGAATTAGTCATTTAACAAGTAAGCAGTCTCAGCACATATTTGCAAATAAAGGTAGTTTACACAGTCTAAATACATATATGATCAAGGAGGTTTAGATGGTCCAATGCATATATTGAAAGTAAAAGAGGTTTAGACAGTTTAAAACACATATATGTAAAAGAAAAGAAGTTTAGATAGTTTAAACACATATATGTAAAGAAAAAGAAATTTAGAAAGTTTAAACACATGTGAATTGGGAAAGGGAAGTCCTAAGTTGATTAGCCTATAGGATCAATCTGTGCAATGCCCGGTAATCCTCCTCAACTAGAGGGGCTACACGTGACATTAGCGTGCAGGTCATCATATCCTTTTACTACCCATTACCCTCCCCTTAGTGGTTATCAGCGAGTTTAATTATTGAACTCTAAGCGTGCTTTTCCCGTCCCTTCCTTGTGGTCCCGGAGGAGTTTAGGACCTCTAGACTTAGGTAGTTCTAGACAATCCTAAGGTGTTTAAAAGGCAAAAGTCTAGGCGACAACAAATAACACATAGGAGTGTCAATTTGAGGAAACATATAAAGGCTCATCTTTACCTCCACATATACATAGGCAAATAAGCAGCACGTGTCAAGCAACTGATCTTTAAAGAAATTCAGAAAACCTAGGAACATGATGTCTAGATGAACATTACAGAACAGAACATGCAGCGTTTGTTTTAAGGGAGGTGACAAAATCCTAACCAGT